GTCCCCCTCCCGCCCCCGGTCGCGATGGGCTCCAAGGATAAGAAGGTCCAGTTCTGCTGGCTGCTGGTGGCGCGCGGTGGCGAGCTGGCGCCTTATCCATCATCAAAGCCTCCGCATCGCCGAGGAGGAGAAGACATTCCGGGGGCATCCAGGAGGAGACTTGCTGGGGAGGAGGCGACAGGCGAGGCGCGAGGCAGCTATTGGCAGAGGGGAAGGAGGAATGGGGAGAAAATCGATCCTGTTTATTCGCGGAGACAACGCAAAAGAGACCGTGACATAATCTACGAATGGATCTCGCAAACGAAAATTAAAACTAGTAGTAGCAGAGTGGGCGAACACTCATTCCCGAGTGGTGAGATCAGAATAAATTCGCACTAGGGGTCTGATTCCCACTCGTCCAAGTTGTTACATGCACGCTCGCATGCGGACGGGATTGTTGGGTTGCCTACCGTGTCTGACCACGCCGCCGCCGTTCGGCGCGCGAGTAGGCAACCCGACCGCATACATGTGAGCAGGTTGCCTACTTTCTCGCGGCCGTATGGTTGTAGTAAAGGCAAACCCGGCCGCGATCCTGCAGACGAAGGTCTCGTTGAGGTGTTCAGGTGGGAGGGGAGGGGCCCGACTGTAAGGAGTTCCCTGGAAGCGCAGTGCTCCTGCTGCTGCAGGGCGCTGTTGCAGGGGCGATGTTCCGCAGGGTGCGGTACTACTACACTGATGGGGGGACCTGCTCGCCAGTGCAGTCCTGCTCGCCAGTGCAGTCCTGCCGCTGCTGCCGCGCGGGACGGCCGCCGGGGCTTCTGAAGAAGCAGCCTGCTTTGTGTTGGTGATGAGCCTGCACGCGACGCCAGGGGGGCCGCCGCTAAGCATTTAGGCCCGTGCTGCCCTTAAAAGGGATGTCGTCGCCGTCGTGGCCGGCGGGCCAGCAAGCAGGGCCCACGGCGGCGGCCCACCGCAGTCGTGGCTGCGCGACCAGCGTGGCGATGCCCCTTCCCCCTTTCCCTCCCCTCATCTGCGATGCGCGCGCAAAGGGACTTTGGTTTGTAAATGAAGCGCTTTTTCCGGGCGCCGCGCCGGGCCGCAGCGCTTGGGTCGCACGCGGTGCAAAGCCGCGAGGCGGAAAAGGGAACGAGCGACACCGTCAGAGAGGCGCGCGCACAAACTCGGGGGGCCGCCCCTTTACGAGTCCCACATGCGGGCGCGCCAAGCACACCTGGCCACGGTACTCTACTTACCTGGTGCCGGGTTGAAGGACTGGCCCCGCCGGTCCTCCTCTAGGCTCGCCCCGCCCCCGCAAACGAGGCGCCCTGATGGCGAGCGGGGCGCCCAGCGGGCGTGTCGCGCGGCACAACGATGAAGACGTCGACGCCGCCGCGCCGCCTCGTTTGGCTGAAACATATGATGATGCGCCTCAATTACAGACTTCCCTTGTCACTCGCCAGCAGGGCAAAGTTTTACAAATGTGAATTGTTTTTCTTTAAAAAAAAATGTTTTGTTGTTAAAACTGTCATAAGCAACAAAAAAAAAACAACAACAACAACAACAACAAAACACGGAGAAAAAATATTAAAACGTTCGCAGTAATTTATTTTATTTCATTTCAAACCCAAACCGGGCATCATGCAGAGTACTACCACGTAGCGCCGCCGGTGCGACCGTTGTCGCGGGTGTTGCACGCGGCAGAGAAAAGGAACCACGCGAAGAGGGAAAAAACCAATAGCATTATGCAGCGGAGATGGGTATCGGGGCCACGCCAACGCCGCGCCGCGCCACGCCACGCGTAGTATCGGCGGGCGCGATCGCCCCCGTGTGTCTCTTTAGCACACACCGAGCAGGAATCGGACAAAAGGGCGGCGAGCAGCAGGAGACGGATGGACAATGGTGTGCTTCGCGACGACGAGGAGGGTGTGAATATCGTCAACGTGGATTATCGCGGCGCAGTTGTGTTTGCTTGTGCTCCTCAGGTGTTGCGGCGACAATGGCTGGGCGCCCTTGCTCCGCCATTCAGGCCGAGATCAAAATATCGCAGGAAGAGGAGTCGGCGCGAAGCGCGCTTTCTGCGAAAGCTAATGAAGAGCGTCAGGCACGTGTTGTGTGCGACTGCGTTACTGTGAATGGGAGCTGAGAGAAAAACGTGCCCTTTGTGCACATTGAATTACATCGAATACAAATTTATCTCTTTAGGTCACAGACAAAACTAGGTATATTTGTACCTGGACTATTAGGTACAGCTTCTTAACCTAGGTACAAAAATTCTCTCCCATTTTTTTTTTTTTTTTTTTTTTTGAGGGTGTGTAGATGCGAATGCGATGTATATAGCGTGCGCGTGCGCCCATGGCTCGCGCGCTGATGTGGCAAATTGTTTCAAATTGGACCGGGCCTGACGGAAGACCGTATCGCGGCTCGCAGATCGGTCGACGCGGCCGTCATGATGCGGGTCGCCTCACCACTACATACACCCACCGCGCTGGCTGTCTGAACGCCCCGCCGCACTGCCGCGCCCCCGCCGCGCCCGAACTCCCCTGCTAGCCCCGCTTCCCATACCGAAACACCTTTCTTTCCGTTCCATCCATGCGAAAGGCCCCGAGGGTGTATTTCTTTTTATCAACACCATCATCACGACGATCGGATCCTTATATGAATGAGAATCGACAGCCCCATCGCATCGGCCGCCGCCGCCCCGCCGGGATACGCGCGCCGTGCCCTTGTGACCCACATCCACTTTTCTTTTCAACCCTTTCGGCTTACGCCCGCCCCTTGCTCGGATTGACCTACTTTTCAGCTGCAGCCGTCGCACGCCACGGGCAGGAGGGGGTGGAAGCGCCTAGACTGTGATGTAATTAATCGGAGGAAAGGAGACAGGCGGAGCGGGATGGGGGAAAAAATGGAAAGCGTGTTGTATCGTCCACTTTTTCTCTCCGTTCAAGGTCGAAAGGTGGAACACGCCACACGTCTACAAACCAGCACCACACGACCATAACCACGGAGGAACAGGAGAAAAAATGAGGTGCGCATAGAGGAGGGTGCAGGATGCTATACCACATGGAATCATAAAAAAAACGAGAGGGTATTTTACCCACACCCCGCCGAAGGCCAGGGCTGTCCTGCCTGTGAAGAGGTGCCAGTCTGTCGAGGTTCAGACTATGAATAGCGAGCGAGGCTGCAGCGCCGCCAGGTGTGTGTGTGTCCACTTCCTCCGCCATTTGATGAATGACTGCCACCTACCTAAGAGGTAGGAGTGCGGGTCGCGTCCCACTGCGTCCTCCCTGCTGCCGGGTGCAGCAGTTCAGTGAGACGTTACCAAAACACCCACTATGAACGTGGGCAACCCTGCAGCGCCCTGGCGTACCTTTTACCACGCCTGAAGCTGAGTGTAACTTCCGTCAACAAAATTAACGAAAAAGTAAAGTGATGACGACGACGGCGGGGGCCATGCGCACGGCATAACGACACGACGGCCGATTGATAAATCACATCAGGTGTGCGTTGCGTGTGACCAGCTCCAGGTACAGTCTCCTGCCACCCTGTAGCAGCCGCGAAGCATACACAGACACAGACGGGAAAAATAAAAACTGAACGCGCAGAAATAATTAAGATAAAAACAGAGTGCCCGTGTGCTTCTCTTTCTTTTTTTTTACAGTGCCCTGGCCGGTATACCTACCGCCCCACGGCGCGCGGCGCGGCGGTGGTCCAAGCGCGCGGAGATGTGAAGCTGCTAGCTGCTGATTCCGGGGCGTCTCCGCGGCAGGCATGCGTGTTCTCAACCCGGCTCTCTATCTCTCTCTCTCTCTTTCAGCCGATGCCCGCACACAAAAAAGGCGAAATCTCACTCTCTCTGTCTCTCCCGGAGGCAAGCACCCGGCCGGCGCAGGCCCCCGGCGATCAACAAGATCACACGCGGAATAATTTGGGCGTAAATCTCCTGCCCGGGGCTCCGTAGAGTGGCTCCGCAGTGGCTCCGCAGTGGCTCCGTCGAGTCCCTCCCGGGGGTCACTCTCGCGCCCGCCGCTGCCCTCCACACGCTAACGATGTCCAAACCAGTCCCCCCTCAGACAGACGGGGGGGACCGACTGCTGCGACCGCGCCAGCCAAACACACCCTTAATTTCCTTTTTCCACCGCCATGTGTTTGCAGCGGGGAGGTAAAAAGTAAAAAGGCCTCTGGAATGGGTATGCAAATGACGAAGAAGGTCGTAAGTTCAAATATCGCCTCCGAACATCGCGTCCAAAACAGCGCCGGGGCACCTGCTGTCGTCGCCTTTGCGCGCGCTTTGGGAGGGGTGGACCGCATTTGGACTAAAAGAGGCTGGAGACAGAGACATTGACAGCCCCGATGGCTAAAGGCGTCGTGTGATTGTGAGGGAGAGACAAGTCTCACGTGCCCTGCTGCTGCACCCCTTGCTGCTACCGGCCGGCGCAAATGCCTGTGATTGGCTTGAGCGGTCGGGTCCGCCCGAGGTCCCCGCCGTACACGGGCCGGGTAATTACTCAGAACGTGAGTATTCATGTCCCTCAGCTCAGCTCCGCGCGCCGCCCCCGGCGCTCTCCCAGGCTCCCGGCCGGGCCCGGCCGCGCACGCGTGTGGGGGCTCCGCGGGGCCGCCCGCTCCGGGACGGCGGGGGTCACGAACTTGGGCGGGCGGGCGCGTCTTGATGATCCCCGTGGTGGACACCCGGAGGGGGAGCAGCGGGACGAGGAGTGGGCAGACGGGAGTGGAGCAGCGGCAGAGCAGGACGAGACGGACTGGAGGAGGAGGAGGGAGGGAGGATGACGGCTGAGTGGCGGAATGCGTCGCCCCCGCGGCGGTTCTCACGGCGCGCGCGCGGTGGAGGGGGGGGGGGAGTGCAAATAGGAGACGACGGGGAAGGCCAGGAGCAGCAGAGGAGGCACTAAAAAAGGGCTATACTGCGCGGAAAGAAAAATGACCACCGACACCGTCTCCTCTTCTGGATGGCATGTAACTATTCCCATGGCAGCGCGACGGGACAGCTCGGGCGCTCATTTATTTTTCATACCGTCCGCGGTGTGCGGGTCGGGTGGCCTCTGCGCAAGCAGCCTGTGTGCAGCCGCGCAGTATGCGCGACGCATCGCCATACAGGGAGAGCCCCGGCCGCGGGCGCGCTGCAGCAGGAGGAGAGCGCGCGGGAGAGACCCTCCGCGCGGCACGGCGACCACCCTGCAGGCCGCGGGGCAGGACAGGGTTGGCGGGCAGCAGCGCAAAAGCAGAGCAGCAGCGACCGCGCCGAACCGAGACGACGGTCCGAGCCATGCCATGCCATGCCATGCCATGCCATGGGCCGGTGGTGGTGTGGTGGGCCGCTCTGGTTCACACGGTAGCAGGCAGCACTGGCCGGTCCCTCTGGCCAGTGGAATGCCCACCATGTCGCGTGTGCGGAGACGCCCCCCCCCCTCCCCCCGGGTACCTCGCGGTGCAGACGCCTAATGGCCCACGCGCTGATCAGCCGCGCCGCTCCCACACTCATCACGCGCCAGTGCACGTCATGTGCGTCCCTCTCTCTCTCTCTCTCTCTCTCTCTCTCTCTCTCTCTCTCTCTCTCTCTCTCGCTATAGCCGCTCACGCCCT